CTTTTACACGAAGGTTTAAACCACTACATTAAAGATAGATATCGTCCAATTAACATAAGACACCGTAAGAAATAAATAACATTTCATCGCTTCCTCAAACTTTAATGAAAATAGCATTTATAGCTTAGGAGTGAGTGCCTTGTTTCAGTGTTAAACCCAGAATGTTTTCTTGCCGAATGACAAACTATACACGCACGAACGTTTGGCAAAACAACTGGTTTTGGGTTTCGAAGTCTTTTTCGTGGTCAAATGGGCTGTCTTGAACCTGGCGGGGGGTCATCTGTGCTCGCAAGTAAACACGAGTAATGCCATATGTTACTGGGAATCCCCGATTTGGGTGCAAAGCAAGTCTGCCTCTTCCTCCCAAGAGGCGGCCCCTGGTCCTCTCTGAGTGAGAGCTTTGGACGAGCAGCTAATGAGACATGGGCGAGGGCGAGTCTCCGGCGCCTGAACACGGGAGCATTAAAGATAAGGGAAGGAAACCCCTGACAGAAAACAACCAGCTGCCTTGCAGTGAAGATAGGGATCCCGATTGGGCAGAGTGACGTAGGGCCCATCCCCAATCACTCTTATAAGCGGATTCAACAGAAACTTAATAGCCCCGGACAAAAAAGACAACTTGGAGGACCGCGCAATTGGATTGCCCAGGAATTGCACATGAATATAGGCCACATGGAATAACATCAATAACAGGAAAATAAGTGGAAGTATAGAAGAGATGAAAAAGTACGATTTGGAAGATTTGGGGAGTTCGTACAGTTAAAAGAAGGGAGCAGAGAGGTGGAATTGCAATAAAGGATATGTTAATGAGATAATAGCCGGCGTGAATTATTAAAACAACGGCTGTTTGGGGGAGAGGTTATCGTGAACCCGGAAATTAATAAGAGAGTGATAAAGTTGAGAACCAGTGTTCAGCGCGGCGAAATAGTTGAAGAAAGGTTGGGAGAGCATTGTGATGGAATGGCAATTGAAACATCGCCTCTTCCATACAGTTGTTTTTCTCAGACAGAGTGTTCTGGAAAAAAAGATGACACACAATTGACCAAGGATGTGTTGCTTGAGAAAGAATTAACGGACTATTGAAGTAGTTGTCACAGTTACCTCTGTCGCAACACGAAACTTCACCTTACTAGAAATCGTGATCTTTAGCTACGTGTTTCTATCTACAATCCAGTGGCCTGGCACACTCTGGGGCTCGAACCTTTAAAGACGTTCAAAACGCTTTTTCCTCGCTTTCCGCATTAGCTTGTGTAACAAGGCGAGCCGGCGTCTGCGATAGAAAACTTCATTTCGACAATGCCAAATTTTAGCGGAAATTTTTTTACCCATCCAAGGAGCTGGTTGCGATCTTTTCGGTTACGCTCCGAACTAATAGAAAGAAGTTTTGATCATCAACTCCAAAGACTTTGCATGAAGAAATGAATGTTTGGTCGGCAGAGAAGGACTTCGCGGGCTTTTTGGAGAAATTATCTCGAGAGGCGCCAATTTAAAATGTATAATCTTTTTCCTTTGACATCTTCAAAGA